CCCCCCGCCCCCAGCAAGCTGGGTACTCATTTTACCAACCGCATAAGAATAGAAGGCTGAGTCAAGCTTGAGTCAAGCTTGAGCTGGCTACCTGAGAGTGAATGCCGGGGTGTGAGCACAGTTTTTTGGCTGCAGTAAAGCAGTTTAACTACTGCACCACAAAGCTCTTTAATCCATTTCTGTGGCCCTTGGGAAGTTAGCCAACTGGGAAAATTGGCTTCCAAGGAAATTTTCCACCTCTAATTTTGTGGTGTCTTAGATAGAGGGATGGACTGCAAAGTTCGGGTCTGAATCCCCACTTGGCCATAGAAACTCACTAGGGAAGTGGAACTTGTAAAACCACTTAAATATCTCACTTACCTTGAAAGCCCTATTTGGGTCGTTATAAGTCAGTTCTGACTTGACAGCACAAAACAATTTAGCAGAACATTTCTCACAGTCTGTTCCCATGGTAAAAAAAACAGCAACTGGGTGTTGTGTTTTGTAGTAAACCTTGCCATCTGTGGATGTCACTGTAAATTCCAAGTGTTTTCCATGTGAAATTATGGCCCTTCACGTGTTTAGCATAGTTACATGGTCTGTGGATCAGTGCTAGATGCTGGGAGCTCTGCTGTCGGGTGGTGGGTAAAGTTTCACTATAAATAAATAGGTATAAAGTTCTGCTTGCAAGTTTGCATTTTTGTAGGGATTTAAGAATTAATTTCATCTGCTCTTCCAAAGATATCAGCAGAATGCAATTAGTAAAATCCTGCTATTGTACTTGTTTGCCTTGATACAACTCAGGGCAATTCCTTCCTCATGCCTAGTAGTAGTAAATGCATTGAGTTAGTGCAGATGTTCTCATCAAGGTCAATGAGGTTTCCTATGTTTTAAAAAAAGCATATTTCATGATATTTTGAGAAGGATGGATTTGATTTAAATCATATTAATTTAAATTGTGATTTGAACCACAATTATGCTCTAGACTTGTTTTCATTATGTGATTTCTCCCCCCACCATAAGTGCATTGCTACTTGCTATAACTTTAATTGGATTTTTTTCGCAATGTATATTTTTCTGTCTCCTAGCCCAGACTCCACCTCCAATAATCTTCAATTCATTGACATTTCTCGTGAAAGTGTGCACAGGAGATGTCAGTGAATAGAGGATTGTTGGAAGTGGGGTTAGTTAACCTGGGTATGGAGATTGTGAAATAGATGTATTAGGGGTATAATACACAGAAATGAAGTTTGTGGGTGGGAGAGAAAAAAAATCCCACAATTAGATTGAAATACATGCTGTTCCCTCATCAAAGCATGCAACTTTCAGAGAGAGAAAGAGATGGCAGAATACTTTGTGCAGGCAAAGCAACAGAGAGATAGCAGGTCGAGTTGCCACTCTAGAGAAATTGGCATCAGTTGCAAAGAAACAAAAATCATAATAAAATCAGCAATACGTATTTTAGTCCTTTAATTGTAGCTATGTTTTATATCTGACATATATTGCAGCTGATATAATTATTCCTGAATTTTTTTTAAAGTTCTATTTCTTATGTTTATCATGTATTGCTCGCGTAGGCTTACGGTTGACACAAATAAAAAAAACCTGGCAAACATGGGTTTTCTGCAAAGGATTATTTTTATGTGATTTTGGAGATCATAGTAGTAGTGACATCTCCTGAATTTTCAAAAAGTTCTATTTCTTATGTTTATCATGTATTGCTCGCGTAGGCTTACGGTTGACACAAATAAAAAAAACCTGGCAAACATGGGTTTTCTGCAAAGGATTATTTTTATGTGATTTTGGAGATCATAGTAGTAGTGACATTAGTTTCAACTCATAAATGTATACATCCTTGTTTTCACCAGCAGCAAATAAAGTAGTAAAGTTGCTCATGGATTGTCCAGTTTCTGTCTGAAACATCATTGTACACACATAGAACTAAATGCAGGCAATGTGAGACAGTTTGTCGAGAATCCTTTCTTCATATTCCTAGTTTTCTATACGAGCAGATTTTTAAAATAAAGATGCATTTGATGATATAAATCCTCCCACTGATATGCTGAAGTATATGACTGAAATAGAAGACTATCAGTTCAGTGAACAAAAGACTCACTGAGCAAGACCTTGCTTCCACCTATAGAAGATGGGTAGGGAGAAAAAGTCTCTGTGTTTATTTTTTACATGAGCTTGCTTCAATCTATCTTTGGCAGATTAGATTGCTTTTGTTTCATAATTGCTCAGTTGGGATATAAAGTGGTGCTGTTTGCATGTCTGAGATTTCAGCCTCTTGTCTCTGAAATATGTGCATGCCAGGAAGAGAAAAAGGATTTTTGCCTTAAATGTGGTTTAACTCCAAAACTCCATCCTGTGTTTTTATGAGCCCCGTAGCTCTGAAAGATTTGCATGCCAGGAAGAATAATATTGTAAGAAGAGAAAAAGGACTTTTGCCTTAAATGTGGTTTAACTCCAAAACTCCATCCTGTGTTTTTATGAGCCCCGTAACCTGAAATAATTGGGATTGTTTAAACTGAGGAAAAAGTCTTGGATAAACTGACCTACGATGATACCAAAACTTTATAAAGAAACAAATTTTCAATAAGGACTTCAAAAAGAAGCCTCATCATAAAATTATTGGTGTATTTTTATACAATAGGCACCTGCCCACCCACCAGAAATGCTCATCCCAAAGAGCTGTTGTAGCACTATACATCCATGATGGCTAATTATCACAGTATTTAAAATCATTGCATTTAATTGTGTTGCTGGAGGAGATTCTAGAGAGTCCTGGACTGCAAGGAAACAAACCTATCCATTCTGAAGGAAATCAACCCTGAGTGCTCACTGGAAGGACAGGTCCTGAAGCTGAGGCTCCAATACTTTGGCCTCTCATGAGAAGATAAGACTCTCTGGAAAAGCCCCTGATGTTGGGAGAAGGGGACGACAGAGGACGAGGTGGTTGGACAGTGTCATCAAAGCTACCAACATGAATTTGACCCAACTCCGGGAGGCAGTGGAAGACAGGAGGGCCTGGTGTGCTCTGGTCCATGGGGTCACAAAGAATCGGACATGACTTAACAACTAAACAGTAACAACAATTTAAAATCATGGTGCATTTAACTGGTAATTTAGCTGAAAGTTCTACCAGGAAGGGCCATTTCATTGCATTGTACTGCATTGTTTTGTCATGCAATTGCATGTCTTAACCTCCAGATCATAGGATCTACTGAAATTTGAGTCCACAGGCGCTTAAGAAGATCAAAAGTGTGTCTTTGGGGGGGGGGTTTAAGATGAGACATGGAGTGGTTGTTTTGAAGTCTAATTGCCCCCCCACTTTTGTGACTTCCTCTCTTTTGTGGGCACTCAGGACAGTGCTTGATTAAAAAGAAAAGCATCCTTAGCTATTGGGGTGGGTGGGGGCTTCCAGAATACCTTGCTGCTTGGTCTACCAAAGATCTTCAGCAAGAAGTGCCAAACTACACAACTACTTCCTGAAATTTGCATGACCTTGTTGAAGCTTGCAGAAGTACTGTGGTATTATCTTCTTTGGGTTGGAAAAGGTAGGTAGTTTTAGGATTTAAAAAACAACAACTTCACACTGAACTGGGAGGCCATAAAGTGAAATTCTTGTCTCCAAGATCAAAGAGGAATTATATGTAAACCAGAGATTTGAGCAGGGTAAAAACTGTTTGTTGTGTGCCTTCAAATTGCTTCCAAATTACTGGAACCCTATATGATTTTCAAGGGATGTGAACTGATTAACGAATGGTTTTCTCGGTGCCAAACCTTAGTGAGTTTTCATGATGAACTGGATATTCAAACTTATGTCTACTGAGTACTGGTCTGTCACTCTATCCACTGTACCACACTGCCTCTTGGGGGTTAAAGAGGTCCAGGAAAAGAAACAAAAGAAGCAGTAGAAAGCAGAATAAGGTGAACATCCTTGGTATGTCCAGAGAAATTCTGGCATGATTGGTGCTTGAAGGGGAATTTATGTCTGGAACAGCTTTATGTTACTTAACATTAATGCTTAAGCATCATTTTAACACTATTACTTAAGTAGTGCTGAGCCTTATTCTACCAAGCTTTTAGCAGTCTCTTCAATATCACAGAGAAATGATGGATGACCACACAGACCTAGATTTGGTCATCTTAGCCTTTGAGGTCACTTAGGTCAAAGGTTGCCTGCAAAGGTATGAGAGGACTCTTCCAGATGATTCTTTTTCGTTATTGTTGTGTGTGAGACAGGCTGTCTTGGATTGGACTTCCTTCCTTCCTTCCTTCCTTCCTTCCTTCCTTCCTTCCTTCCTTCCTTCCTTCCTTCGAGCTTCCCCCCTTGCTATTGGCTTTTAAGCATCTAGAAAATATGAGAGAAAGACTAAATTGTGTTCCTGCACTGAGCACGAAGTTGGATTCAATGACCTTATAGGCCTCTTCCAACTTCATGCCTCTGTGATTTTAGAAATAAATCCCTGGTCCCTTTTGAAACAAACCAACAAAAAAAAAAAAAAAAAAAAAAAAAAAACCCAAACAGTGCATTTAGTATGTTCTGATATTAAGTGAATGGTGGATAGCTCTCTTGCAAAAGCTAAGGTGAGAGTAATAAGAGTGTGGAGTGGCTCAATCCATCTAGTCTTTTACCTGCATTTCAATCAGTTTCTACAAAATCCATTAAATGTATCCTTTGTGTACTCATTTTCTAGAATTACAACAACAGCTGCTTGTATGATGGATTTACGAAGATACCCTCTGGATGAACAAAACTGCACATTAGAAATAGAGAGCTGTAAGTACGTTCCGTATATCGTGCATAATCAACCCTATTCAGACATTTATCATTCTTCCACATGTCCAGCCCTATGTTATTTTGTTTGGTTTTTGTTTTTTGGTCTGATGACATTTTGATCCTTTTAAACACATAAAACAAATTCGGCTTTGCAGATGGATTAGTAATTTGTGGCACAAGGATTAGAGGAATTTATTTTGCAAGTTGATGGACAGATTTTGGTTTCAGAAGTCAATGGTATGCTCTTTTGGAGTTTTACGCAAGGATCATAAAGGCTGCAGTCAAGTTGTTCCCCTCCGCTACTACCAAACTGCTTGGCTGTTTGTTTCAATTTTTTTAAAGGAAGGGTTGCCATTTGTCACAGAATTTATGAGTATGTCACACCTGTGAAACTGTGATGTCAATATTATATGTGCTTAATTTCATTGTGATTTCCTAGCTTTCTGTACTCATTTCTAATGTCTGGTCATTTCTAGTGTTTAAATTGCAATTCTGATATTTTCTATACCAGTACATGAAACATTTGTTTGATAAATGTATAAATATTTATTGTTTTATAAATATTGCACACAGTGAGTTAAGTGATGTGCTCTGTGGGTTGGCTGAACCTGGTGACACAGTTTGCAGAATGGGAGGATGTTGGATTACCCTATGGCAGTGATGCAAACCTATGGCACGCGTGCCACAGCTGGCACACAGAGCCCTCTCTGCGGGTACGCGAGCCATATGTTGCCGGATTGCTACTTCCCCCTGCAGCCAAACTTGAGGAGGCAGCTGCAGCCATGGTGCTGGCGTTTGACAGGCCGCGAGCCAGGATCCGGAGCAGCTGGTGGATCTGGAGTGGGGTCTTGAGCCACCTCCATGCCCAGGGTTCCCCCTTCTGCTGCCACTTCTCGTTCCGCCACCCGCTGGGTTTATTTTTATTTTTTTTTTCATTTCGGGCACTCGGGCCCCAAAAGGTTCACCGTATGCTGGCGTTTGACAGGCCGTGAGCCAGGATCCGGAGCAGCTGGTGGATCTGGAGTGGGGTCTTGAGCCACCTCCATGCCCAGGGTTCCCCTTTCTGCCGCCACTTCTCATTCCTCCACCCGCTGGGTTTATTTTTATTTTTTTTTTCATTTCGGGCACTCGGGCCCCAAAAGGTTCACCGTCCGTTCCGCCACCCACTGGGTTTATTTTTATTTATTTTTTTTCATTTCGGGCACTCGGTTCACCGTCACTGGCCTATGGTGTGCATGTGTGTGTGCATGTGTACACAGATGTACTTTCCCTGTAATATGAAACCAGCAGTTTATAGTAGTCCTACTGTTGCCCCAATTCCAACCACTACTTCTAATTTAAGTTGAGTAAATATTCCATTTTGCTCCGGTTTGAAGCGTATACCCTTAGCTCTGTATAGCTGAATCCATTTCTGAACATAGGAGAGAATGCTATTATAATACCACAGTTTTAGCAGGTGCAGATGCTGCAAGTAAAATTTTTTTAAACTGATAAAACATTTTTTAAACCGATTCAACTGAAGCAAGTATTTTCTGCAAATGTTTGAGAATTGTTACTAACTGTCACTGCACTGACCAAGGCTGTACAGCTGGCCAGGATGCTCTGATCAACTTTCCAGACAATTTGGTTCTCCTAATTCTAGTGCAGTTTTTCTCGTGTGTTTTAGAGGAGTTATTTATCCCTTCTTGGACATTTTTATTTTTGGAGAATGGTCATGTGGAATGGTCCAAGCAAAATCACACTCAATGTGACTTCCTCTGCATTCTCACATCTGTACTGTAACAGCATCTCTACCATTACAGCACCTGTTTCTCAGCAATGTCTGCTACCACATATTTATTGCCATCCAACATCATCTCTGTTTCTGGAAAGAGACCGTGGTGTCTAAGATACAGGGCAACACAAGCAAATTCATGTGTTAATCTTTGTACTGCTCAAGCCCATCAGCGTTAAGCAACTTACAGATATTTGAACCAGCAGTTAAAGAGAACAAGGAACAGCATCACCCACATAATTGCACATAACTGGTAAACTGAGCTATACAAATAGATAGGTTGACCCATTGGTTCAGACCTCCTTCCTTCCTCATTGTCATGTATTTATTAAGACCACCAAGCTTTAGCAATACCTACTCTGCATATGCAAAACAGGGACTTTGTTTTTTATGTGATATATTTCCATGCTGAATCCAAGCATTGACAGGAACAAAGCAACACAGGTATTTGGCCAAAAGCCCAAATGAGCTTTAGTATGAACCAGCACATATAAATAGTTCATGATATCACTCATAACCTTGTCGAAGGAGCACTGCCTGTGCCTATCTGCACTATTTTCAGTTTTCATATTTGTTGCTCATATCTGTTGGGGCACAGGTGGGGGATTCCTGAATATGGTTTTATCACTGCTTAATACTCCCTCTTCACATAGATTCATTAATCTAAGTACTGTAGTAAGGGTGAAGATTTTCTCCTTTCACTTCAGTGTTTATCAGCAACGTGGTGATATGTGTTACAGATTGTGAGTGATAACATCAAATGTGGGTCTGATGGCAATTTTTAGAATATATATTTTAATTGCATTTTAATTATTTTGCCCTTTTATTTTGCCTTTTTATTGTATTTTAAATGCTGTAAGCTGCCCAGAGACCTTCGGGTAGTGTGGGCGGCATACAAGTTAAATAAATAAATAAATAAATAAATAAATAAATAAATAAACAAATAAATAAATAAATAAATAAATAAATAAATAAATAAATAAATAAATA